TTCAGCCCGTTCCTTGACAACTTGTTCAAAAAAAAAAAAAAGAATACATTTATGATACCTTTTTATTATTAATTTATATTTATATGAAATTTATAAAAATAAATTTTATTTTCAATAACAATGTCATATGAAACAATTTAATTAGATGATTTATAAAACTTAAGTCAACTTTTATTTTTTTATATAAATTAATGATAAAAGATACAATAAATACATTTTTAACCTATAATATAAATGTACAACTTAAAAAATTCCTTTGTATATATGCACACACCTCTTTTCATGTTAGTATTGATGTTCGTATTAGTGGTTAAAGCTTTAGATTAATAGGATAAATAAGAATATTTACATTATAAACAACCAAAACAATCCACTATCAATTACTTAACATTCATTGTAATTAAATATCAAGTTTTTTTTAACATATACCCTAAAAACATATATTAAAAAAACCTTTAAATATTTTATCCAAATATATCCTAAGTAGTGTTAGTTCATAGTCCATTTTAGTTCGCCTTCTTGATCTAATACGAAGAAGAAAGGATTTGATTATTATTTCCTTTTTGTTGTGTGATAATGAGTTCCCCCTTTGTTCCCATTTTGTTAATATAATTTGAGTTACACAAAATGCCAAAAAAAAGAAAAAATTCGTACAATTTCTTTAAACACAACGTATATAAACAGACAATTCACTTTAATTTTCATATCTCAAAACATCATCTAAACCTTATGAAAAAAAAAATATAAACGATAAAATCCAAAAGAAAAATGATTAGTAATAGGGTAGTAACCGCTAATTTCATAGGAAAAAAATTTTTTTTTTAACATTTTTACCATGAGACCGATAGAACTATTGCCCTTGAAGGGAGAAAGAATGAACCTTCAAATGTGCCTGATACCACTTGGCCCATAGGCCAGGTTCTTATAAGAAAAATTTGAACGTTGAACTTTTCCAATTATATATATATTGAATTATATAGTAATCGAACAACTCTTTTTTATTTTTTAATTTATTTTATTATATTTTATATTATTTAAATTTAAAATCTTTTATTTCTATGAAAATAAAACTATTACTAAACTTTTCTGACTGTAACCCGCAATATACCACGTTTTCTTTGGTGCAAAACTGCAAATCCTAGAAAGTGGCTTAAGGATAGTTGGACCAAAATTCTCAATTCCATTTGATAAGGGTATTTGGGGTATAAGGGAAAAATGTCATTATGGTAATTGAACTCCACAAGCTTTCTGAGTCATTCTCAAGGTAAAGGCCCCCATTTTTCCCACTCTGTTTTTTTAGTCCTCCATTAATGGGGGCAAGTTTATAATTCTCCTCTAAGCGTACAAAAGCTACATTATTACCTTTTTCTGCTTCTGGCGCCATTTGCAGAACTCCTTCATTCAAACTTCTCCCTCTTCGACCCCAAAACCCACCCATAAACAACCCTTCCCAATGGAGGAAAAGGAGAGCACGGTATCCGGGTCACTGGGCAACTCGGACACTGACTCGCCACCGGCGCCGTTGAGCAGCATGGCGATGCCACGTGTCATGAACATTAATATGAACATGAGCATGGAGAGAGCCATTGATGGTGCAGGTGCATTTGCAGGGGTAGCAGGAACACCGGGATCAGGAGTTGGGACTTTTGGGAGTGGCGGCACCGGCGGTGAAGGAGGTGTTGATTCTTCTGGGAAAAAGAAGAGAGGTAGGCCGAGAAAGTATGACGCGGATGGGAACCTGAGGTTGCCTTACCAGATAATGACACCACTCCCTGGCTTCACTCTGTCTCCTTCTCCTCCAGAGCACTCCAAGAGGGGCAGAGGCCGCCCTTCCGGCTCCCTCAACCGGCATCTTATCGGTTCCCTAGGTAAGTTCTATAAAAACAACAACTGGGTTTCACTCCATTCCGTTTTTTAGATTTGTACACTTGTATGGAATTAACTCTGTTTGGATCCGGGAAAGTACCGTAAAAGAAAAGAAATCAATGAAAAATTTATGCTTGATTGCATGTTTCATGCTATGTTCATTTATTCTTTCTTTCTTTTTCTTTTTGTGGGGAAATGTTGCTCAACTTACTATGAAAAAATGAAAGAAAGTCCTAAAAACAAGAAGTCTTTTAGTGTTATTTTCTTCCCCATTTCTCACCAAACACATGATAGTGGGTAGTTGATTCATGCTTCTTAAAGGAATTGAGAGATAAAGTAATTAATGCTGGGTTTGACCATCTGACTCTCAATGTTAATGGAAAATAATATCAACTCTACCTTTAAAGATCAAGCTGCCTTGCTTGGAATTTGATTTCTTTCTTCCAATTTTTTGTTGGATGGATATGGAAAAGTCAGGGTTCTGGAATTCGGTTTATATCGAAATGTTTCTAGGGAATATCTCAGTGCTATGGGTGATTGAGGAAATGCATGTTACTTGCTAAATTTAGGATGATGTTTGCTTTATTTTTACTTTCATGAATAAATAGCTCTAGATTGGAATTGGATTATGTAGGATTTATCTAAAATTTGGGATTGTGATTGTGTGAAGGTGAGTTGTTTGCCAATACTGCAGGAGGGAATTTCACGCCGCTTGTGGTCACAGTTAATACTGGGGAGGTAATGTACAGTGACATAGATATGTCACTGTTTAATGGTTTCTGTGTAAAGACTTAAGATCCTAAATTTCTCAGATTTATATGATAGGGAATTTTCTTTGTTGATTGTAGGATGTTGCAAGAAAAATTCTTTCCCTTTCGCAGAAAGGTCCTCGAGGAATTTGTGTTCTTTCTGCTAATGGTGCAGTTTCTAATGTCACCATTCGCCAACCTGGATCTTCTGGTGGTATCTTGACCTATGAGGTATGATCAAATTCATCCTCCAATTCTCGAGTTTTCTTTTTTAAAAATTGAACACTTTCCCTAATTTCAATTTCAAAGTGTCTGATTACCTTTCTCAAATAATGAAAAGGACTAAAACTAGCATTTGCGGAGAATGTAGTCTTTGTGCTCATTTTCTCAGCGTGGAAACTTTATATTAGTGTGAATAGTGATAGATAAAACTTTGATGTCTTGAGATAAGTCCAAAAAGTATGCCAGTCCCGCGTAAGTCCGCAACCATTTCCAAAATTATGACCATGTCTTGTTCTGTTTTCTCCAATCTAGACTTCTAAGGGAAGCAGATTTTATCTTCCTTTTTTTCTACCTTGAAAAAACCAAATTTCTTTGCAGGGTCGATTCGAGATATTGTCATTGACAGGATCATTTACTGTCAGTGAAACTGGTGGTGGAAAAAGTAGAACTGGTGATTTGAGTGTTTCATTGGCTGGACCTGATGGTCGTGTGATTGGAGGTGGACTTGCTGGTATATTGGTGGCTGCTAGCCCTATCCAAGTATGTATTCCTTCTTTCCCGTATACATTGGAGCTTCTGCATGATAGTCTTAGGTAGAGAGGCACTGATGATGCAGAATCATGGTAGTCTTACCTACAACTCTGATTTTCATTTGCTAGATTGTGGTGGGAAGCTTTATGCCAAATGGATATAAAGTACATAAAAGAAAACATTACCGTGAACCCACCAAGAATTCCACAGTCCTAGCTGCCCCGGAGACAGTAACAGCAGCACAACCAATCTCACAAGTAAAACCTGACAGTAAGAGTGCCTATATTGCACCTACATCTTCACAACTGGGACAAAGCCATGGTGAACCAGATTTTAATACCATTACAAATGATCAACAATTACCAAACCCGATGTCTTCCCATAGTGCTGTTTGGAATGGCTTGGAGCCAACATTGATTCAGAGACCATCTCCTGATATTAATATGTCTGTGCCTAGTGAATAGAATGTCCAGGTCAAGGTATGCCATTCTACTTGAAGCAATCTACATGTCTCGATGTGGAATGTTAAAACTATAACTCGGGTATTCTCTCCGTCTCAGGTTGTACTACCTCAGAGACTTGAAGGCTGACATGATAAGCCCACCGAGAAGTAATTTTACAAACACTTATTGTTTAACAAATGTTATGCTCTACAATTCCTGTCTTATATCTAAAAATCAAACTGGAAATTCATTACTTTCTTGACTTCCAGGTAGGATGGCCGATTTATCTGACATATCTCCTCTTAGTTCATTGCATTAACCAACTCTGCTTTTGTGAGTACAATGATTATGTTGTGTGACAATCATGTTTTAAAAGATTAAATACTATCTGCTTTTTTCTAAAATTAGAATACTGGTAAAACAGGAGAAATTAAATGATAACATAGAAATATTTGATCAGACTGTATCTGTACTGTATCCCTGGTGCATTTGCGCCTGTCTTCACTTCACTTTTAGCTTGAAAATGTATTGATAACCTTTGAGTAATAATCCCAATCAGCATGCCTCGCAGTTATTGCAGGCTGTCCAAATGGGTGTGCTTTAACATAGGTAGGTACATCATCTGCATCTGCCAGCCCAGCTAAGTATAGTCGCAGCTCCCCATTTGGACCTGATCAAAAATGATACTCTGTTGACATCAAATCCACAAATAATTCAATGGAAAGTATTAGAAATACTCACCTAGAGCATCATCCCCAACAATGTTCGCCTTGTATTCGGTAGGAAATATTGCTGTGTGAGGCTGCAAAAAGGCGATAAAAAATAAAACGTGAACATTTGAAAAAAAAAATCTACAGTAAAGCTAATTGAATGGTCAAGTTACAGGATTAAGCAGGGCCTTGTAGGGTTTGTCATCAATAAGCAGTGTACTGAGTTCAGAATATCTTCCTGTGTGCCAGTTTCTTCCCCACACTTGTTTTAGTTCCTTCAAAAAAATCGGTTTGTTTTTCTCCTCCAAGGTACCAAACCCAGTATTGGTACAATAATCTTGATCCTATATGAGACCAAAAAGTGAAAAACACATTTATCACAAAAACTATACATTTTGTACGGTATACAACATTATGCCTACCCAAGCAAATAACAGCTTGCTTTTCAATCCGCTGGTTATACAGTCCAAGGCACTGTTCAAGTACCATCTGCAAATCACAAACAATATGATTATAATCAGGGCATCCAGCACAAGAAATTGCAATAAAACAGGCATTAAATTTAACTCACTCCCTTGCAGACGACCAAATTCCAACTTCAAATCTTTCAAGACAAAACTTCATGAAGTCTTCACAGAAAGGTCTCTTGTACACTGAACAGGAATCATGGTCCACATGAAAACAAACTATTTCTATGCATTGTACACACAAGAAACTTGTACTAAAAAATGTCCTTACCTTTGTAGCTTCCATAAGCAGCATCGTGTTGCCGGTATATGGGAACTTGAGATCTTTCTTTGTAGCAGACCCTGTGGCAAAGCAACCCTCCGATGCCAAGAATTATAAGCTTCTTTGTAGGACCTAAGTTAAGTTGTTTCGTGTTCAGAAGTTCCACAGTTGGATCCTTATCAGAGTAAATCTTTTCATCTCCCCCATCAGAACACACAGATTTCTGCTTCATGGAGTCACCCTCTCCTGCCATTTTTTGCCAGAGTGAACAAAAGATTTAATACTTAAGAGTGGCTGGAGTGATTTATATAGTTGAAGAAGAATGGCTTCGGTTTTGTCACTTTGGCTTTTAGTCTACCAAAGCGACAACAATCAATTTTATGGTAGTGACTTTTATGAGAAGCATGCATTGAGTACTCGTCATCCTTTTATATTCCACTATAACTTTAATTAACTTTAATTATATAAGTTGAGACTCTACCGATGTACAAAACATTAATAATTAGAAAGAAAATTATCAACAACAATTTTTTAATATAATA